GTTTTGTTTCCTTTGCTAGAAGTAGGATTTTAAATTGAGTTGCACTAACATCCTTTTGTTTTCAAATTATTGATTAAATGTTTCATAAATATCTTATTACTTTTTATTGTTATTGAACTATTCCTTTCTATGGAATTTAATTATTTGTTAAAGATGATTTTGTTATATTTTTTTTTGTTATATTGTTATTAAAATATATAAATTTTGTTTACCACCCACCATGTATGTGTCAACTTTGGCTAATACTGAAAATTTAATATTACAAAAGCAATCACTTTAATATGTGATGTTAGACAACATGTTTAAATACAAATGTTAGAAAATATGTATTTTGTCTATGTTGCATATTTTAAGAATTTCTTTAATTGTTTGAAACTTATATACAAAAAATTATGGAGTATTGGACTTTTCGCTTGTGTTATATGTGCATCACTATGTTGTTATTTTGAAACTTGCTAATGTCCTATATTATTGATTATTGATTTTTGGAATTTCGTGAGTTTTTACTAATTTCAAGACATGAGAATAGAAACCGTAAAACCCGGACTGGACCGACCCGTTTCAAACGAGCCGGGTAATTTCCGGTTCCTATTTTGAAAATTGTAGTACCCGGACCGGACCGAACCGTACAATGGAACCGGCGATTCCCTTTTATTTTGCATTACCCGCCCCGACCCGGCCCGTGCCCAGCCCTAACCTAACTTTTCCTATGCGTCTTAAATTTCTTACGAGAAAAAGAAAGATCTAAAAATTGATAATTGCTCTCCTTTATCAAAATGTCAATTTCTGTGAGTTGTTCCCAATAAGTTTTAACACTTCAATTTTATTGTGTGATTTATATCAAATCTGTACTTTTAATACACGTGGATCCCATAATCTAACACTAATTTGTACAGCGACGTTGGTAGTTAGGAGGATACATCGGGCTGACCAAGAATATGTTGATAGTAATTTTAGTGTCATCGTCATTTTGTATAATTGGAAATAATGTGAGTGCGAATATGAATTATAACTATGATCTAATAAAAGCTAGTAGATATGGAGTGCACACTTACATATAAAAATAAGTTTTATTTCAAGGAGTCTACGACAATAGAACTCGAGGTAGAACTTTCAGTAGAACATTTATGTGGTTCTAGACCAAGGTCTAGAACGGTTGAGGCGGTTTCATGCAGTTTCCGGAAATTGTCACGGTTATTCCCAAACGGGTTTTAACTGCATGCAGCAGTTCAAATGGATATATATCTCCATATTTCATACAGAGGAGGAGAGACAACATATCTTCATTACTTTGGCACTCAAATCTAATAAAAACAATCTGTGTACTCACTAATTTGTGCTCTTGAATTTGTGCCTAATGTTTTGAGTGTCCTTAAACATTATGCTTGATTGAATTTCTTGTAAATCAAGCATATGTGAGAAATATCAATTTGGAAAGTGAACTTACAAGATCTTTAAACAAAATCCCGTACTCAATTATCACCCGCTACATGATAAATGCAACATCTTTGATTGGAATCCGATTCAAACATGAGACCTCCTCATTGAGAAATAATTCTCTAATAAATCTTGCCATAAAAAACCTTATTGGGAAAACTAAAATTTGTCTAAGAATAAAACACAGCCACATAATAATTAATAATCATATATATCATTTTTTTATGGAACTACATTATATTTTTTTTCTTGAAATAGAATTGGTTTGACGACCTTCTAACTAATCGTACAATTCAGGTCTCATCCATTAACTTTATCCAATCTAATTCCGGTCAACTATGTAATCTTGTTTTTGCACCTCCAGTATATAAACTTCAACCGCAAATTTTCTCGGTTAACATAATACTACCTCCCTCCAAGTTTGGGACAAAGAGATGTGGTCCCCGCACAGGTAACTCAGTTGATTGAGTGGTAGATCAAGAGACCAATGTTCGAATCTCGCAGTGATCGTGTGGAAGTTACAAACCTCTGAAATGAGTTGGACCTCTGACGCACATGGGTATATGGATATACTGTCACTTTACTGATTGAGTCACCGTGATTTACTCCTTCATCATCCTGTCGGGTCGGGGTGTGGTTCCTCCTGGGGTGGGATATTCCACCTTTTGGATCAATGACAAAGAAGGTTGGTGTAATTTTTAAGGAAAAATAGAATTGATAAAATTTGAATAAAGTAAGAATGAATTGTAGTCACAGAAACATTATCAAATATGATATGAGACAAACTTAATGAGATGGGTGAAAAAGGTAAAACGGGACAAATTTAGAGGACGGAAGGGTATAATTCTACTCGGATCGATATCTTTGAGCAACCAAGAGTAGTCCAAAACACAACATTTTAAAGACTATTTATGGGCAAAAGTTTAAAATCCACATACCCTTAAAACGGGAAATTGTCTATATACTGCCCGCCCAACTTGTGTTTAGGCAATTAGGCCCGGAATCAATTCATATTTGCAACTTTGCAAGTAACTCCGGAATCTCGTGTTCAATACTTCAATGAATATGTACTAACAAATAGGGGCTCGAACTTACATAAAAAGATCAAATAAGGCCTTATATAGGATGTTCTGTCTGGCCGACGCCATTTGGGGCGGTTCCCGATGAAATTTTTTGATGAAATTTTTTGAACGTCTTATTCATTAAGTCTAGTTTACTCATACCAAATTTGAACTAAAACTTCAATCGGGAAAGCATTCAAATGAATTCTTGAAGATAAGTGCGCAGTTAAAAGCACAGTTATCTTCAAGAATTTATTTGAATGTCTTCCCGATTGAAGTTTTAGCTGAAATTCAGTATAAGTAAACTACACTTAATGAATAAGATGCTAAAAAAATTCCACCGGGAAGCGCCCCAAATGGCAACGGCCAGGCAGAGCCTCCTATATATGACCTTATTTGATCTTTTTATGTAAGTTCGAGGCCATATTTGACATTTTTCCCTTCACTAATCATTTGTTGGATATGCCTACACGGCACACCTATTTAACAATTATGTTTTCATTTGTACTCACAACAAAATAATTTGGATTTATGTTAGGTCTATTGTGTCAATTAGTGTGCTGAAACTCTGCACAAAATAATTTGTTTTCAATTTATTTAGTGTATTTTTTCATTTTTATATTTAGTCCACTCCTAATATTTAACCCCAATATAATTACCTTTCAGTTTAGCTCAACTCAGATTCGTGCTCGAAGATTTTTATACTCCGTATAATCTAATACGTACTCTGAAAGTTTTGATAAATGTCTAAAGTCTGAACTCATCCTTTTAAGTTTGGTCTAATACAATATGTTTAAATTTAGTTTTATTTCATGATTTTCTTTGCGGAACAAATTCAAATAAAAACTTCTTAAAAACCGGATTACACAGGAAAACTTGCTGTGTGTTTCTGAATATTGGCATTATTTTCTTAAGTTTCCGATTAGACTAAATTTAATCCACACAATTATCTAATCAATGCTCTGATCAATATATGCTTGTCATGTATGTGTTCCCACTTCCCACTGATGCGAATACATGTAACATATACAATTATTGACACAACATATGCTTGTCATACTTAAAGACCAATTTATACCACGCATTTGTACAACTGGTTTGTTCATAACGACAAACAAATTGACTACAAATTTTGTTTTAGTTGTGTGATCATGTGATGTGTGTTTGCTATGACATCCACATTTATAATCTTATTTGAATATTAATAACGTCACATTTATAATCTTATTTGAATATTAATAAGGGAATAAATGATACAACAACTATTACAAATATTAAAACAATATATTATTACAGTAGCTATACCGTGGGAGCGGCGCAGGATGAGCATCCTGCTCCCACAATTATATGAGATGTAAATTGTGTGAATCAACATGTAAATGTAGGTTAGTCAAAATGTAATTTACTTTCATTTAACTCATTAAAATCTAAACTGCTTTGATTCAAATGTAACTTGAGAGATGTAACTCTAGCCTATTCAAATGTAACTTGAAAATAAGTAGATGTAACTTGTGAAATCAACATCCAGCAGAATGGGAAAATCCGGATTAATCTGGATTTGAATAATTCACAACCCTATAGATGCTAAATCAAATGAATTTGCTTATTCTTTTAAAAGGGTTATGCATAAATCTTACTAAACAACATATTCATTCATCTCCTCCCTTCCTTGAGAGCTTGAAATTTCAGAATTTCATTCATTTATTAACAGAGAAAGAAGAAAGGAGAAGAAGGAAGGAGAAGAAGGAGAAGAAGAAGAAGGGGGAGGAGGAGGAGGAGAAGAAGGAGAAGAGAAGGAGAAGAAAGAAGAAGAAAGCTTACTATACTGCTGCCTGTTGGTCCTCTAGCACTTGTGATCGATCGGTGCTCTTCTTTTTAGTTAATAAAGCTACACCGTTTTGGATCGGGCACACCGTGCGCACGGTGGGCCGATCCCATGGTATAAATTGTGATATTTTTAGAGTACTAAACGTAAAGCCTAACTGAATTTCAAAAGTAAGGGTACATAACATTTGTAAAATTAAATACGGAGTAATGAACATGACACATATTTATGGATCGGACTGTTGAACGCTTCATAAGAGACTTTGTGTAGCGTATGATAATCACTATTTTCATTTTCTTCGAATGAAAGGATGATGAGAGCATTGTATTTACACAAAGTTGTTTTGTAGTTAACGTGTTTTGAATGAATTGAGAGGAGTATAAAGGAAAATGATTACATGAATAATGGAGAATAACATATTGGGAGTGTGCAGCAAATAGAATGATGAATAAGTATTAGAAAGTACGAAGTATATGATTGGAGTTATAGTTTTTGTTTTTGGATAAAACTTTCTAACATATTTGTTCTATCTGAAAGTCAACATTATTGAATTAGAATGAGATTCGAATCCGTGATCTCCTCCTCAATAGTATACAGCGATGTCATCTAACCACAAAGTACTTGACGAATGAAGTATATATAGTAAGAATTATAGAAAATATGAATAGAATGATAAGGAGTAGATGTTTATAGAAATTTGTATGTGATGCCAACCCCTATATACCCCTCCACCTTCAAGGAGGCTCCCCTTGTCTCCCCAACAAAATATTAGGCTAACAAATACTACATAGGAAACAAGGAAGAAAAAAGTAGTCGTTGAGCTCGGAATCGAGACTGATCGATCTCGGTCCCAATATACAGACAACGAGGACCGGCACAAAGTTTACCTCCGTCTCGATTATGACCGGAACGGTAAAATCAATCTCAATCGCAGTTAAAAACCTGATCAATCCATATTCAGCCCGATCTCATATCCGGGATTGTGTCCATGCCTACCAACAAAGTTTCCACTTATACAAAGTTTTATTTACATGTGTAGAAAACTAAACATTATCTACAAATTTATTGTACGAATAACATCTTTAAAAAATTTGACACATAGAACAACACATTGTACATAATACAATTGTAAGTTTTATCATCATTATCATTGTTGTAATTATTATTCTTATTACTACTGGTAATTAACTTTGATTAGTACTTGCAATTGTACAATGCGAAATTAAGATGGAGCTTTTTTTAACAGATTTGCATCAGAAGAGACGTGGAACACCTTAAGTTCGCACTTTGGGGAAACCACCTTTAACATGAGCTTAGCACTATCTTCTTGTTTGATCTGCGCATCTCTCTTTTCCACCAGAACCGCCGCCACAATCCTCTCATATCCGCCTCCACCGCCGGCCACAAACGCTACCAGTGCTGCCTGAATCGGCCCCAGGCTCGGATTATACGCCGCGGATTCGGCATAAGAACCCCTGTACACTTTCCCTTCGCAATCCATCAATGCCGCCCCTGATGGGCAATTCGTGTACGGCGCGTGCGATTCATTCGCCGCCTCCAAAGCTGCAGTCTCCAAAATTTCCGTTTTGGACCCGTCGTTTAGGTTCTGTTGATCGGTTTCAGAATTCGAATTGCGATCTCTCTCGGAGAATCCGTTTCGGTTCTCGCCCGTGAGGGCTAGGGTTAAGCCGTTGTGGCGAGGATCCAAAAGGAGCGGGGTTTCGTCACCGAGGAGATCGTCCGGGCCGAAATGGTTGGGGATGAATTGAGATAAGGGCTTGAAATCGACATCGCCGGAGTTTTCAGATTGGGCGGTGATGAGTAGTTGGAGGGAGGAGGCGTGGCGCAACTCTTGGAAGAATTGACGGCAGTGGCCGCAGGGCGCGGCGGAGACGGCGAAGGCGATGAGCCGCGGACAGCGATGGGATAGCAGGTTGGTGACGAGGAACTGCTCGGCGTGTACGGATTGGTTTAGAGGGAGGCCTGGGAACTCGAGGTTGACGCCGACGTAGATGCGGCCGTCGGAACCGAGTCCCACGGCGGCGACATGGAACTTGGAGATCGCCGGCCTGGCTAGGGACTGGGCCGGTTGCACCAACGCCGGGAGGAGATGGCGGACGGAGGGGAGGCCCAGGGATTGGGCCATTGACTCAGCATCTGCAGCTTCGATCACGAATTTGGGCTGTTCCATTCTGGTCCTGTGGCAGTGCTATAATAATAAACTAAATAAAGGCTAAGATGAATGGTATGTATTCCGTAATGGCAGGGGACAGAATGAGAAGTCGCTGTTGAATTGAAATGAAGAGAATAGAACAGCGGGGAGGAAATTGGGAGGGAGTGGAGTGGAGTATATATAGAGCAAAATAGCTTTTGCCTGGTTGGAATCCACCGATACTCTCTTCTACTTTGAAATTTGAAATAAATAAATAAATAAATTAAGAACTTTTTATTTCAATATTACTAAAATGAATAAAAACACAAAAATGTGACATGTTTTAAATTTTTCTAACAAAAGTGACTAAAAATCATTTATTTCTTGTATGTAATCATCCATTTATTATTTAATATTCCTTTTATATATTTGACTAGTAATTCATATATATCAGCCACTGCACCTTCGTAGCCGCCCACCCCAGCATCGCCGTCACCAACACCGTCACCGTCACTAACACCAACACCGTCACCGTCACCACCACCACCAGCAGCAACAGCAGCAGCAGCAGCAGCGGGCAGCAGCAGCGGGCAGCAGCGGGCAGCAGCAGGGGGCAGCAGCGGGCAGCAGCAAAAAGATATTTTCAAAAAAAGATAGAATATCTTTTCAACGTTTATCAACGTTTACCCATCCGATAAGTTTATCAACGTTTTTTTCGAATAATCAAAAAAAAGATACCCCTTTTATCATTAGAAAAAGATATTTCTAATAAATTGGACAATTTTTGGGTTTCTAGAAACAAACAAAAATTAAATTCTATAAAAATTGATTTGTTAAATCGAATTAAAAATCTTGACGGGCAGCAGCAGCGGGCAGCAGCAGCGGGCAGCAGCAGCGGGCAGCAGCAGCGGGCAGCAGCAGCGGGCAGCAGCAGCGGGCAGCAGCGGGCAGCAGCGGGCAGCAGCAGCGGGCAGCAGCAGCGGGCAGCAGCAGCGGGCAGCAGCAGCGGGCAGCAGCAGCAGCAGCAGCAGCAGCAGCAGTAGCAGTAGTAGTAGTAGTAGAGAACTAAACAAATTTTAATCAAAAGAAACAAAAGAAATGAGACTAAGAGAGACATGAAATAAGATAAAATTACACTAGGGAGACTAAGGATTAGAAAGTTTTAATTGGGTTTGACTATTACATAACATTAGAAATTTAAAATAACATATTAATTTCAAACGGGATACCGGGATGGGACATGATATTTTATAGCTATCCCGGTCCCGTCCCGGTTAATATCGGTGCGGGACCGGTTCGGGATGAAAAAATTGTGTCCTAAATGGATCGGGATAGTTTCGGAACGGTATCAGGATTTTTCGGTTTGGGACACCGGGACCGGGACTTTTGCCCACCCCTAGGTCGTCGTCCTAGGAGATGTTGTCAAATGACCACAATTGATTGAATGTAGATCAATTTAAATATTATAGAACTAATCAATGGTAATAAAGTGTTTGATAAAATGATTCAATCAAAATGTGTATAATGTGTGGAGGGGAGGACTCAGGTGATGCTATGTCACGCCCCGGACCTACCGGACACGTCAACAACCCGCCGTACAGTACGAATAGTCAACCGCAGTCCAACTCATCCATACTATACTAGGCGTCTTGAATATCATTCACAATAGTACATGCATAAACAAACATAATGTAAAATAATCAATTGAAATCAGCGGAAACGTTTAATACAAGTGTTTATGCCACACTTCGGCAAACATGGGCATACAAGCCCCAATAATCATTCAAAAATATCCATGAGCATTAATTGAAATGTTTTTTAAATAGAGACGGAGGAAGCACGAACCACGTCTTCCTTCCTAGATCTTCCCGAGGCAACGGGCACTGGTAGCAGGCTCTACTCCCTACCTGAAACTGTGAGGTGGCCTCCCCCGTGAAGGGAGGTCAGTACTTGGAAGCATTTGACAAGTACAATGACAACTATACCAAGTATAATCAATGTTTCAATTTCTAAGACCCTCAAAATAGGGTGATATCATAATATAAATAATAATTTATATTTCCCACTTATTATCTCTATAATAAGTAAATTTATTTATTTGTCGGCACACGGCCCATTTCATATATTTCATTATACCCGTCGTTAGCACGACACTGCCCGTAGGTCTTATCATCCTTTACGAGACTTGTCACCGCTCTCCGAGGCCTCACCGGGTCCCCGGGCCGGAGTCCAACATCCCGCCCCTGAACTCATACCCATCGTCCCGTAGGAAGGTAAGGTCCATTCGGGGTCCTATCTTATGTGTTACCGCTGTCGGGAGCCTCGTAAGGTCTCCGGTTCGGATTCCACCCTAACCCGTGATCACGATGTAAGTCCATGCTATCCAACCCCGCTCTCTAGAGTCGGGAAGGGCCATGGTCCTTACTAATTACCAATACTCTATCGGCTAATCCTTAAAGACTACCGAATACACCCGTAGGCCAATCCTATTCCTAGGATCAATTTATTATTCACTTTATCTTGGGTATCCCTTAAGGACTACCCCTAGCATCACTTATCCACCTTAGTATCTCTTAAGACTACTTAAGGCTCAACAATTTACAATCCAAACCTTGGATCAATTCTAACATATTTCATTCCAAAACCCCGACTAGTATCATTATACTAATCGGATAAATTCCAACAAAATCTCATTTCAGTTCATAGTCATATAGACAATTCTCAAACTAATTTTCCATTGAAAATATAGTTCATATCAATATACAAAATATAATCTTTAATCACTCATATATCCTTATATGAAGTTAAAATTATATTTCAACATAATATTCATAGTTAATCCCTTCATCAAACCAATATACTCATATTACATAATCATACACAATTTATCCTTAAATTTGTATATTATGCTCCTTTATTCATTGACAACAATATTTTCATTTTGGCATTATTAATCATTAATAATCCATGAAAATAACATTTAATTACTTTAGGTAATCTTACGAAATTAACCCAAAGATTATAAACAACATAGTCAGCCATCATCACCTTGTGATGTGCTACAATAGTTGCCTTTGCTAAGCCCCTCGATCGATCCCCGTTCTAGGCCGATCAAAAGTGAAATTCCTGGACAGTAGCCCAAAAGCCGGGCGGCTTTCACCAAAGCCGGGCGGCTTTCGTAGTCTGCAACTACGAACAGCTTCTTCTCCTTGGCGGTTTCCGGTGGTTTCAACTCCTATCGATCCCACGACTCTCCTAAGTTAAATACCACCACTATATAACATTATTCCCCATTTTTAAACGTGTAGAACTCCATGTTTGATCCACCATATGATTTCTTAAAAATCATACAAGTAATACTAGTTAAATAGCAATAGTTGGGTTCTTACCTCAACCTAGCTCTCTTCTCTAGAGTTTCTTCCTCCCTGTGCTTCCTTAAGCTATGGGCTCTTGTGAGCAAGCTTCTCTGGAGCTTCTCCTCTTGGTTGGACGAAAATGGATGCAAAGGGATAGGGGATGCTCTCTCTCAATCAATAAGAATGATGCCAAGAGTGGTACATGGAGGTATGGCCATTGTGTCCTTAGGAGACTTCCTCTCCTCCTTGTACGCATGAGCACATTTAGTTGTCCCCCCTCCCTCATTATTTGAGGCTAGGTGGGTTGTAGGATACCCCAAGTGGGTATAGGAAGTCCCTCCCAATTATTCCTGCTATTTTTGGCAGGTTGGGCCAAAATAGCACTCGGGTTGTCCAAATATTTTTATCAACTTTGGTTGACACTTTATTGGGCTCCTATAATTTATTATGATGGCCCAACTAAATATTTGGTAGCCCCTTCTCATAAAATGAACCCGATAAACAATTTAATTAATCGCACATTAATTAAATATGCCAATTAATTACACGAATTTTATTTGTTAGGAATTTCAAATACAAGTCGAATTTCAAATTCAAGTACATCCGGGTGCGGTGTCACAAGTTCACCCCCCCTTAACGGGAATTTCGTCCCCGAAATTCACAAATGCTTATTCAAAAAGAAATGCATACTGTTCCTTCATCAAGGCTTCTGTTTCCCAAGTTTCTTCTTCAACTCGGTCACTTTTCCAAAGGATCTTAACCATTGGAACTTTCTTGCTTCTCAGCTTCTTTACTTGCCTATCAAGTATCCTCACCGGCCGTACGGCATAGTTTAAGTCCTCACGTATTTCCACAGGTGGTTTCTCTAACACGTGAGACGGATCCGGCACATATTTCTTTAGCATAGACACGTGGAACACGTTATGTATCTTCTCCAATTCTGGAGTCAACTGCAATCGGTATGCTACGGCCCCAATTCTTTCAAGAATCACAAATGGCCCTATGTAGCGTGGGTTGAGTTTCCCTCGGCTTTGAAATCGGATGATTCCCTTCCAAGGTGAAACTTTCAAGAATACCTCATCTCCCACCTTAAACTCTAAGGCTCTCCGGCGCTTATCGGCATAGCTCTTCTGTCTATCCTGGGCCGCCTTAAGCCTCTCGCGAATCATCTTTACCTTTGACTTGGTGATCTCCACCAATTCCGTGCTTTCAAGCTTGGCCATGCCCACTTCATCCCAACATAACGGTGTACGACATTTCCTCCCATACAATGCCTCGTATGGAGGCATGCCGATACTTGCCTGATAACTGTTGTTATAGGCAAACTCAACAAGTGCTAAATGGTTGTCCCAACTTCCTTGGAACTCCAAAGCACAAGCCCTCAACATATCCTCCAAGATCTGTATAACCCTCTCGGATTGCCCATCTGTCTGAGGATGAAAAGCAGTACTGAACTTCAACTTCGTTCCCATGGACTCTTGGAATTTCGGCCAAAATCGTGATGTGAATCGTGGATCCCTGTCGGATACAATGGTTATAGGAACCCCATGTAGCCTCACGATCTCATCCACATACAATTTGGCTAACCTCTCAAGTGCATAGGTAGTGTTGATAGGTAGAAAATGTGCACTCTTCGTGAGCCTATCAACCACAACCCATACCGCATCATAATTCCTCACGGTCCGTGGCAGTCCTACCACAAAATCCATGGTCACGTGCTCCCATTTCCATTCTGGAATGGAAAGTGGCTGCAATAACCCAGCTGGATGCTGATGTTCTGCCTTAACTTGCTGACAAGTAAGGCATCTACTGATGTACTCGGCTATTTCTCTCTTCATACCAGACCACCAGTAACCCTCTTTCAAGTCACGGT